CTCGACGTGAGCATTGGCCAGCTGGTCGCGAAGCTTCTGCTTCTCGGTAAGCACTTTTTGAACATGATTATCTTGGTCGGAGCCTTTCTGAGTCCTTCCTTTCGCAAACTCCTGCTCCTCCTCTAGGCTCGCCTGCAGGACGACGATCTCATCCTCCAAGCCCTGTATTCTCTCCTTCAAGCCCGTCTCTGCGCGTCTGGCCAGGCGTAGCTCTTCTTTGACCGACAGGAGCTCAGTGCGTTGGTCATCGATGATTTGTCTTTTTGAGGCTAGCTCGTCGTTCAGTTCCTTTACCTGGCGCCCTAGAACCGCTTCAGAACTAAAGTGGCGTGCCTTTTCGCTATCAATAACCTCCTGTAGTTTTGTTTCCTTGCCCGTAAGCGTATGTTCCACCTGCTCGAGTTTCTCGATCGTGCGCTTAAAACCAGCCGCCTGATCTTCCGCCCTATCTTTCTGAAGCTGTAGGGTTCGCTTGGTACTTTCCCATCTGTCTTCCTCAAGCGCGAATTGGCCTTCTTTGTCTTCAATCTCATGGTGAAGAGATTCGATCTCTTCCTGCAACCTCTCAATTTCGTCCCTGTACTGCGTTCGAAGGTTCTCCGTATCGCCCATCGCATGCTGTTTCTCGTTGTCAACGACTTGCTGGAGCTCTCGGATTCGAGCTTGCGCCCTAGATAGGTCTTGTTGTAGCCCACCGGACTCGTCAGTCAACGCATAGTGACGAGTCTGTAGAAGCTCCTTCTCTTCTTCCCGACGCTGAATCTCATCGATGGCTTCCTGTAGTTGGGAATGAAGTTTATCGCGCTCCTGGTGGACGATTTTCAAGTCATGTTGGGCGAGGTCAAGCTCATCGTGTAGCTTTCTTCCTTCGCTATCCATGCTTTGTTGAGCTTTCTGGTATTGCTCCTGGAGTCGAGTTTCACTCTGATGCTTCACTTCGAGTTCCTGCTTTAGCATGTCGTTCTGCTGATGCAGCTCCCCAATCTCACCATCTAGCTTGCTCACTTTCTCCTCCAGCTGTCGCGTAAGTCCCTTTGTGCTGAAAGACCTATTGGCCATCTCATCATGGAGCTCCTGAAGGTTCCTTTCCGCCTCCTCTTTCTCTTCAAGGGCTTGCGCTTCAGAATTCCTCGCCTCCCGGGCTTCGGACTGAACTTGATCGAGAGACTCCTGCAGTTCTTCCATTTGTTCCTTAGCACGATGGAGTTCAGCCTCGAGCTCTGAAAGTGCATCACTTTCCTTTCCATCTTTGTCCTTCAACTCTTCAATCTCCTCATCACGCTCCTCGACCATGCGCTCTTTTTCTCTCAAAGACGCTTCTAAGTCTTCAACCTCGTCTCGCAATTTATCCATCTCCTCAGACTGATTGCCCTTGGCATTGCGCAGGGCTTCTTGGAGATCCTTCACTTGACTGTCTCGGGAGTCGATTTCCTCTCGCATTAAATCCATTTCTCGCTGTATTGTCTCATCGGTTTGTCTTCTTCGCGATTCTTCCCGAAGCCCTTGGAATTGTAGCCGGTATGCTTCCAAATCGCGTTCCGCTTGCTGTAGGTTCTTCTTGTATCGAGAAATGTCGCGTTGCATCGTTAGCTTCGTGACTTTGAGCTCCGTGTTTTCTCTCAAAGCTGCTTGGTTGTATGCGGGGCCGGCCTTTTCTAGCCGATCTTCGAGGTAATGAACCTTCACTTTTAGTCCCCAATTTTCTTTGTCGAGTTTGTCGATCATCTATTCATGTCAGTAAATCCAAAGTTTGGAGAATAAATTGGGTTATGAATGAAAATTCACCTTTTCTTGCTCTTTCAAGGTCAGCATATTTCGGCCATCGTTCAACACACCACCCCCGTCGCGACCAGGCAGTCCGGGAAGAGGCGTGCCCTGTACACTACTACTTGCAACCTGCGGCAAGGGAGTGGGCTGGTCATCCGTCGCGTCCTCCTCGTCAATATCCGTCATATCCATGCTTGTAAGAACAGTGGTGTTTCCATTTGTTCGATAACCCGATTTGAGGTACCCTGGGGTCTTGGGACCCCCGCGTGTCGCCGTGGAGATGTTTCGGAGGAAGTTGTTTTTGGTCGCACTCTTCATCAATGGCGTAAACTCACCCGCGGGGGGCGCAGCAGTTGGCAGAGTTTGTCGGCTGTTCAACGCGCTCCTCGTCGATTTGGAGCCAGCACCAGAGCCCGCACGCGGCGTGTTTAGTTTGAAGCCACCTGAGCTGCGCCTGCGCCCTTGACCGAGGGCTTTGAGAATATCTTCATCCTTGGAAGGGGTTTGGAAGGAGTTCTCAACCGAATCAAGGTCCGAAAGATTGTGTCGTCCGACGCTGCGGAAGCCGTTAGTCAGGTACGTCGCGTTCCCATCCAGTTCCGTGCGCGGGGTGTCGATATATGGATACGCCATTATCGTGCCGAGACACGTGAGGGTGCCTCAGAGGTTGTTGATTAAAAGGTAATAGTAGTGAATGCCATTCAGCATGCCACCATCGCTCGTGCTGGGGAAGAGAAACAGTATGTATGCATCGGACGTGTTTTGGGCGGCGACTTGCCGATCTACCGTTGTTGACATCAAGCCCAGAACGGTCTAGCGTCTTGGTTGTCGGGCCGGCAGATTCGCCGACTATGAAGTCATTTCTAAATTTCAACCTTCGCGACGTGTAGATTCTTTTCCATTAGCAACGAATCCGTCTGTCAATCATGGCGCCTATGTCACAGGAGGACCTCGAATGGTTCAAATCCACTTTTCGACCCATCCCCAAACCCGAGCTCCCCGACGACTCGGTCGAATACTCCGTCTACTACAATCCCTCCAACCCCGCCCCCGCCATTATCGATGAAGTTGCCGAAACACGAGCACGCCTAGTTGATGTTCAGAGGACAGCTGCAGAATTGACCAAAGAATATTTGAAGGATTACATCTGGCAGCGCGAAGGCTTCAAGTTGGAGATATCAAAGGACGATGGTATGGAACGGCCACGCAATAATGAAGCGCCGCCATATGCTAACTTTGACCTTAATAGGCATTACCTCGTTGCGCGGGCGAACAAACTTCGGTGACTCTATTGAGGATGAATGGGTTGTTGTATATTTGTTGCTTGAGTTGACGAAAAAGCACAAAGATATATGGATCAAGGTCGTGGATAGTGATGGCCAATTTCTGCTAGTGGAAGCCGCAGGCGCATTACCGGCATGGTTGGAGCCTGACATTGCAGATAACCGAGTATGGATCCATCAAGGTAAACTTGTTATCATCAAACCGAAGAATGAAAAGAAGGACAGAGTCACGGAGAGGCTATCGCTTCCCGACGCACAAAAAATTATAAAAGAAGAACCCGGGCGGCTTATGCGATCTACTATGGTTCAAGAGGAGGCATTTTATCGACTACGAAACTATCCGAAACAGATCAACGAAAATCTGCATTCGGGCCTCGTTACGATTCCTCGCAAGATCGCATTCCTATTACACCAAAAACCAGCTTACATTTCGGCCGCGGTAGAAGCATTTTATCTCAGAGATCCGATTGCCCTACGACCCCTTCGATCTAAAGATGCTAGCAGCTTTCTTTTCCGGCCCGAGGACTTCGTCACAGTCAGTGTTCGGTTTACGCGGGTCGGTTATGCCCAGCTTAAAAGTCAAGACTTCCCCACACCCAAGTCCTGGGTTGAAAGGCTCCCTTCGAAGGATGATGAAAAACTGTATGATAAAGCAGAAATGGGCATGAAGCTCGCCTGTGGTTTCGAGATGCTTCTTACCGATCCACAAAACCAGGACAAGGCCTCTGTGAGAGAGATGAAGATCCTGTTGGAAGACATTGACACCGGAGATGAGGAATTACCGAGCGATGCAGAGATGAGCACATGGGGTATGCGAGAAGATGACGAAAAGTGGCTTGATATCAGCTTTGAAGATCTCGATCGAGAATTGAAAGGAACCAGCAAGGGCAAAGAAGCGGACCAAACAAAAGGTAGCTTTGGTGATGCCAACGCCCAGGAGAACCTTCAGCGTATCGTGGCACAGTTTGAGAAGTTTTTGAACGACGAATCGGCTGGTTTTGAAGGTGCCGACTTTATTGACGACTATGGATCCGACTCCGATAATGGAGATGACGACGATGATGAGGAACTAAGCAGTGATGGTGAAGACAAAGAAGCATCCTTTGACGAAGAAGAATTTTCAAAGATGATGAAGGAAATGATGGGCATGCCGTCGTTGCCTGGGCTAAAAGACTCGCCGAAACCGCTGTCGTCACGTAATCGAGTTCAGGAGGTAGATAGCGAGTCTGAGGATGAACTCGAGCAGATACAAAAGTTGTCGAAACAGATGGAAGCAGAGCTCAGGGGTACAGGGGCTCTTGATCTAAATGCCCCAAAGAAATCCAAGGGCAAACAGGCTCTATCTGGAGGAACTACAGGGGAAAATGAAGGACCTGGTATGGATGACGACGACGACATTGACATAAATCTTGCAAAAAACCTATTGGAAAGCCTTCAGGGTCAAGCAGGCACCGCAGGGCCTGCGGGGAATATGCTCTCCATGATGAACTTGCCTACTCCTAAAGACGATCGTGGCCGCTGAGTGACATTGGCAACAGATTCTATACTAGCCACTTGTGTCTTGGAGCGAACACAAAACATTATAATTCCACCCTCGCATTTACCTGGCGAGGTCGGCATCATCCTACGTTGCTGAGTTTGAGTATGTATTATTAGCCTAAGCCTACTCACACTCGCTGAGCGAGTCCTCGCTACATGAGTAGATTGTATACATAGTACTGGGTTGAAAGGGCACACTCATGTGAAAGATATAAAATAAGGTTTCAAAGAGAACGAGATGTGGGTTGTCGAAGATCAGGGCATTGCATATGTGCAGCTGGGAAGAAGACCTTGGCACGGCACTGTGAAGCGTGCACTCGTGCAACGAATTGGTGTAGGATTGTTAGGAAAACAAAAACAAAGAGCAAGTCAGAAAGGATAAGAAGAGGTTCCAACAAAATCAAAAATATGAGGTCGTGCCCGGGATCGAACCGGGATCGGTGGAATCAGAATCCACAGTGATGACCATTACACTACACAACCTGTGATGCTGAAATGTCCCAACTTTTGAATCTAACAGCAAATGTTATTTATCCAATTATTAATAACATATTCTACAGTATATTTGAATTTCAGTCAGTCGAACTACTACAACGACAGGAAAAGTAACCTACCTGGGAGGTTGAAGACCTCAGTAATTAATTCGCAGATGTATACCTAGTAGGTACCTAAGATCATAGTTAAAATACACTTCTCAGTGGGATTTATTGGGTTTACCCTGACAGTACGCCATCTCCATCCCTTGATATATATATTTTCGTGCAATTGTACCACGTACTTGCGGGTTATTTGTTTTTTTTTTTTTTTATCTCCATACATTACTCCTACTTATTTTATTTTATCACTATTTCTTACATATCACTTAATAAGTTCATTTAATTCATATACTATTTGTCGATCTATTCTATATATTTCTATATATCTATTCATCACAGAGCTCTATAGTCCCCTGCCTTTGGCGGTTTGTTTTCATACACACCCGTGCCGTATGATCAACGATGGCTCATTGAAGGCGTGGCTTCTCAGTGCAAAAGAATAACGGTATATCTCAGTCTTCGAGGCACTATAGTACTTTGAGGTCGTATTCATGCTACATCACTGTCGCCCGACAGCCGAAATGGATACAATTAAACCTGAAAGGTGGAACAACCTGATATAGTGAATATCATAAGTGTTTTACTCTACGAGAGTATAATAATCCAGTGTATAAACATGAGAGACCTGTCTTGTTCTCCTTTCCTCGCACCATCGATGCAATCCTGCTAGCGCTTAAATCTGATGTGCTTTTTTATTTTCTCCCTGTCTTTCTCTCGCCAATGGAGATGCAAGCAAGCACAACACAAATAGAGGGTTCAAATCTGGAAATATGATGTGTTTTTTGTTCATTATTTCATGTAAATGTGAACTCCAGGGCTGCAAGAATAGTGCTTGATCGTATCTTACTATAGTAGATCTAGTAGGTGGTCAAAGATGCGCACGGCCCCCCTCAGTGGGTGTTCTAAATACCTCTCTTTGCACCCCATAATTGGTTAGAATATAATTCTCATAGACTCATAGTCACATACGCGTATATTAAGACCAGCGTCTCCGCCCACTAACCGACCACACTCGCTTAGGTGCTTGGTCCCCCGCTGATTGGATATATCATAGTAATTAAGGGCCCCTATACTGACTCCTGATCAACCGGTTCAATCATCAATTCTAATCGTATAAAATGTAGGAAGTTTGTTCGGATCCGGCCGATTCCAGCGAGTGGGCGGCGGCCCACATCCTGTCTGTGGGGCTAATTCAACGTCAAGATCAAGATGCTGGTCATTTAATTGGCTGCCTCTGTTCGCCATCATTTCCCTTTGGTGCCGACTGTATAAACAGCATTGTCGCTTAGCACCATATCCACAAAAGAAGCTTGTCATATACTAGTAATTACTGAGACTTCTTGACTCGAGTTAACCTGAGTGGCATCCCCACCCATCCCCAAATAAAAACATATTTGGGGGTTCCATCTAGGGCAACTTCTACCTTTTAAGCGTAGGTCCTAATTTCCATTGAAGATAAGGAAGTAGTATTCATTACGTAAAGACAGTATCTCTAGTTAACGGATTCATGAACAGGGCACCCAAAAATTGTTCATGTGGCCCTATGTCAGATCCATATTGACAGTATGGTCTGACTTTCACTTCAATTGACTCGTGGTATCAATGACAACCGAAAAAAGGGACGGGGAAGCCCCTGCAGCCGTGCCTGACGAGCAGCGGGAGGCTGAATATTCCATGGATGGAGGACTCCAAGCATGGCTACAAGTCTTGGGTAGTTGGATTCTTTTTGCAAACACATGGTTAGTCTTGCTATATCCCTCGCCATTGGTCATATCGAATGACCAACCTTGTCACCTCTAGGGGTCTCACCAACTCGTTTGGCGTCTTCGAGACCTTTTACACCGATACTTATCTGACGACGTCGACTCCATCCGCCATATCATGGATAGGCTCTATTCAGCTGTTCCTGACTATGCTGGTGGGCGTCTTTGCGGGCTGGTTCTTGGATGCTGGTCACTTGCAGATCTTGCTGCTCCTCGGTGGTTTTTTTGAGATTTTTGGGATGTTCATGACGTCGTTGAGCACCACCTACTGGCAGGTCCTCCTGGCGCAGGGAATTTGTGTTGGGCTTGGTAGTGGCCTTCTGGGGCTCACATCGGTGGCCATCATTCCCTTGTATTTCTCCAAGAAGAGGATGATTGCAACGGGTATCGCTGCCACAGGCAGCAGTCTTGGTGAGTTATCGCCTTGGCAGTACGTTATGATAAGGGAAACACTGCTAAAAGGGACTCACAGCCGGAATCATTTACCCAATTATGCTTCGCCGGCTCTTTGTCCAGATTGGCTTTCCATGGGCTGTACGTGCTCTGACCCTTCTTATGTTGGGGTGTTTGATCATATGCTGTGCAGTGATGAGACTTCGTCCACGGCCTCGTAGACCGACAGCTTTGATCGAAACCAAGCACTTTCACGATCTGCCTTACATGGCTTTTGTTGCTGGTACATCTAATTCATCCTCCTCTTTCCATCGTGCTTGTATAACTAACCCATTCACCCTACTTTCCAGCATTTACCTTGATGATTGCATCTGTTTACGTTCCATTTTTCTACATCCAAAAATATGCCCTTCAACTTAATATCAGCGACGACATGGCCTTCTATCTCCTTGGCATGATGAACGCGACCAGTCTCATTGGCCGTATTGGGCCAAACATTCTTGCAGACCGGTAACACTCCCTCTCTTACTAGACAGGCACTATCATTGTGCTCACCCTATATGTGGTTTAGATTTGGTGGAGTTAACATCATGGTTCCCGCGTGCTTTTTATCAGCCGTGATTCTATTTATGTGGCGATTTGTGCATGATTTACCTGGGCTGATCGTGATCTCCCTCCTCTACGGTCTCGTCTCAGGTGGCATGGTTTCCCTTCCGCCTGCCATCATTGCAAACCTGACTAGTAAGCAATCGGAACTAGGTGGCCGCATGGGACTGGCATATACTATTGCAGCCTTTGGCGCCCTCATCGGAAACCCAATCGCTGGTGCCTGTCTGCGCCCATCTGGAACTGATGTACACCACGTCCAGAGCGAATTTCAAGGCACTTGGATCTTTGCAGGGACGTTCATGCTCCTCTCCACGGCATGCCTCGTAATGACGCGCTACCTCCAGTTTGGGTTTGCACGGGGCAGTAAGATTTAAATTTTTTCGGATGAAAGAAAGAAAAAAAAACCAGCGAGGAAAATATACCCCTACGATGGATGGAGGGTGGAATGTCAGGGACCATGCCCTCGGGTCTGATCATCTGATAAGACACGAAGGGTTCAGTGAAACAAATTTAACAAATTGTATTATAAAGAATATTAAGCATGGGGAAAGAAAGGAAGAAGAACCTTAGGATCAGACCGCTTTATAATTTACGTACAAGCGAAGTGTCTCTGCGAAGTGGTACAGCTTGAGATAGGGCTGCATGCATCAGGTGACCCTAGGGTTCCTGTGCCAGTCATGTGCCTTTGCATTCCGCCACTTGGCTCTTCTGCCTTGACGACTGATGGTTCTAATACTATACTTATTATTTTATTACTATCATTTTTGGATTTTTGATAATAACAACTGACCACGTATATTTGGTTATGTTATCTGTACTGATTGGCTAGCATAGAGGCGCCTGACTCCTTGTTATATACCTCCGATATATGTTCACCTACAAAAAACGCATGACTCTTGTTGTCAATTCATGACCAAGTAGATAATGGCATGTCATTATAGACCATAGCAACATTGGGCCAAACATCCTCCCTAAATTCTTTGCTCCCTTTTGGCTCTTTGAATAACACAGATCTTCTCCCTGATCCCATGGTCGACGTAGCCTAAACCCTTGCATAGTTGAGAGTTTCGCCTGCTTATTCACCGCCAGGGAAAGGACTTCCCCTCCAAGCAACAGCAACGACCAACCAAACCAACCGACTACAATGGCCCGAGCCCCCCATGTTCTCCGCAGTTCCTCAGTGACGATGGCTTCAACACTGTTCTTGACTGTCCGTTTCCTTGCGGATTGATAAAACGACAGAGTCGAGGACCAACTTTTTTTTTTTTGGGAGTTACTTTTGATTATCATCACTGTGATGTCCTTAGCCTACGCTTACAGTTCAAGTCCCGTGATGATGCCTACCACTTGGTCGACCATGACGTCTAACTCACCCAAGCGGAAACGAGAATCCTCAGAAGATTCGGATCGTCTCAGCCCCTTCCCCCAGTCCCCATCAAGTGGCTCGGTACATAGCCTGCCTGAATTGAAGCTCCGGGAAGAAGAGGATTTGGGTCGGTATAGCCCTCGAGCTGTCGTCGCTGGTCGCCTAGGGCAGCTAGCCATCCGTGGAGATCACTTGCCGACACCGCCTACCAGCTTTATCACTGGCGTCACAGACCAAGCGCTAGTCGCACAGTCTGTACGGGGAAGATGTTGGCCTCCGTCCTCTACTAATTTGTCTATGATGTCCGCAACGGACCTGCAGGCGGACACATGCAGCCCTAGCCTAAGCGAGCCTCCCAACCCAGCGCCTGCGAGAAGACAAGTACAACAAGGCGTCCATATTCCTGCTAGAACCCTAACCACCTCCTCCTCCACCACCACCACCACAACACCCACGACGTCCCCGCCGAAGAAACCAACCCCAAGCCCCCGCAAAAGAAAAAACCTGCAGCCGACGACGAGATCACGCGGTGGGAAGAGGTCCCCACCTCTCGTGACCACCCAGGACGAGAACCCACTAACATGGCATGACTCCGAAATCACTGGCCACGACCCGACCGACCCAAGTGACGATGGAACTGGGATTAATGGAATTGGGTTTAAGCCAACAGCAGCAATGGCCTGGGCACGATCGCAGAAGAGGCAGAAGCAGGTCGCAGCCTGGAAAACTCGAGAGGCGCGAGACGCCCGTGAGAGG